ATGACAGGAGTGTCATAGAGGGAATTTATATATATGCAAACACATGGGGGTCACATCGGTGTTACTTTTACAAAGTGACCTTATCCACCGGAGGGGCATTTTAAAATCTGCATTAGCTTACACAGGAAAGGCTAAATAAAACTGCAAATACCTGCATTGTGTGGGATGTAGAAACTAACACAACTAATAATTAATGCAAGATTCAACACAGTACAGAACATATTTCTGTAGAAGAGACTCGGGGTCAGAAGTGATTTCAAAATACTCATTTAGGGTTTTTCTGAAGTAGCAAATAAAATATTTCTCGTAAAAAGAAAAGTAAGAGAACATGGGACTAATTTTCTGTCAGGTTTTTTCTCTTAAACATTTCATCAGGATTCAGTAAAGAAATAGGCTTATGCTTCTCTTTACGAACACTTGCATTCATAGGGTGTATGTGTTTGCAGAAGACAAATGGGTCTTACTGACACTGAAAGTTTCTACGTATGTAAAGCAGGAACGAATGAATTTTGAACAGCTTCACAGAGGCTGATGTTTGTAAAGAAAAGAAAGAAATGGAGCAACAGAAAAAAATGCTGTTACTCCTAGGAAACAGATGAGAATTTTATTTGTGTATAAGCTCTTAAGGGAAGAATGAAAGCTATTATTTCCTTACATTTTTTTCTCCTCAACAATAAAGATTACATAAGGTTACACTTCACTTAAAATAGGAAAGCAAGGCAATTTAGCACTGGCCGTACAAAGTAAGGTAATTCCCATGTGATTCTCCTCTATTTCTGAACTGTCGGAAAGGTGGCTCATCTCAAGCTCAGAAGCAAAGAAGGAAGAAAGTGGAAACTCAGAAGATTATGAATGCTACATTGCTGCAGTGAAATTGAAAATACACATCTGCAGTTTCAGTACCGTCAAATAGTTGGGCCGCATCTGCTGTTGGGAGGGGGCTGACAGTGAGATGGAGCAGTGATGAGGAGAGCTGGTGCAACCTATTGGTGTATTTACAGTTTGAGCCATGGAAGCCAGGGAGAAGGATTTCTGCTGACACAGCAGTTCATAAAGCTTCTCTGCAGCATCAGATGTGGTTTCACCCTGAGAAAATAATCCTGCCATTTTTAACCTACTTTTGTCACTAATCACTAAAACAGTCTATTCTTGAGTCCATGATACCAGACTGGTGATGGTCTCATGGAGTGTGCTTCAGGTAAAAGGAATCTTATGGAGCAAAAATAACAAATGCTATGGATTTATTCATTGTGTTACAGTGTTAGTGAAGAGCTGGTCATGGCAGAGTCATCTCACACTCAGACACTGCCTGTTTGAATTACGTGGGTGACATCTTTTTGTTTTATTTTGAGTGTGTCTCTGGAATCACAAAAGGAGCTGTCTTTCTTTTTCCTTGTCTCTAAGCACATTGAAAAATGAACTCAAACATGGCAGCCTTTCATATCCTCTTTTGCATGAAAGTGCTGAGAATTCCTTGGGCTTATTTCCAATATGTTGGGATTAGAAACTAGAAGGAAATTTTTGTTAACGCATAAACTTTGTTTTTTTGTGTAAAATTGATTTTCAAATGTAGGCATCTCCTATAGCATGGCTGTTTTCAGTTTTGATCACCTTTGGCTTCTATGCCATTATTGAAGGCCGTAAGGATCACAGCGAGGGAGAAGTTCTGCAGAAAGGAAGGTAAATAGAAGAGGAAAATGTCTCACAGACAAAACCATTCAGGTTAATAGCTATAGTTTCTCTGTGGAGCTCTGCATCACCTCTAGTAAAAGTAGACCTCATTTCAGAGCTCGTTTGTTCTATTTAACACAGCCTGTTATGTTAGTGTAATAACAGTACGGTAATGGACTGAATTTTATTTCCTGGATGCACTTACTTGACATGGATCAGGGTTGCAAGAGGCTAATAGTTATGTTTCAGAGCTGAGGTCAAATGCTATCTAGTTCCAGTGTCTTCTCAGTGCTATATCATGGGCTGTTTTGCAAATCCACAAAAATAACCAGCATCAGATTTTCTGAGCCCAGGTGATAATGCACACACTCAGATACTGAGCATATCTCATGGCCTCTCCTTGTTATCTAGCTGTTTGCCTGCTTTGCTGATGAGGTACATCCATCCCAACCCCCTGAGTTTCTTGGACTACAAACCCTTCATTTTTTATTTCCAGGCCTGCGTTGCTATGGTGTGGCTTCTGTGTGTAGCAGGACTGCTGGGAGCAGAGTGCTTCGTACCTTGTTTGTGCTTATGCAGCCACTGGTCTGTCCTTGGACTGACCGTTGTGAGTGGCCAACACGCACACAACTGCAGGTCTAGTGTTATACTGCATAATTAGTTTGAAACTTAACATCATCTTCCATTTTTTTCTTATTTGAGCTGCTGTATGTTATGAATGCATTAAATGCTGACATATTTTTTTGTACTTCTGCTGATGCCCTCTGGACTATTAGTCCCAAGCTAGAACTGCTACTTGCACTGACTTTTCTGTTAATTGTGCCTATTTTTGTCCTTCTAAAGGTGAATACCACAAATACATAATGCGGAATAGTGTAATAGGCTTGTGGTACAGAAAGGGTGTATTGTTTTTCTCATGATTGGAAAACCTGGCAATGGCATTGAGCCCAGATTTTCTGCGTCAAAGCTGAAACCCTTCCCTTACTTTGCAGAACAGTCTCTTCTATATTCAGTGCTGGCTTACTCCTCTTTGGTTTGCTGGGCTGTGGGCAGAGGTTTCTATCTTCACTCTGCCACCTACCCTGAGGGGCTGCTGTTCACAGGCAGATAGGTTGGTTTTCTCTCTTTCCCTCTGCCACTACTGTTTTTCCTTATGTATTTGCATTTTCTGCTGTGCATTTGCTGCCAGCCTCGCAGCACAGTGGGTGAATCTGGCATCAGCAGAGTACAGGAAGGAACTGTATTAGATTCAACTTTGCTTAATGGTGCAAGTCCCACTGGGTTTTGAGCAGTGTTGGGTAGGTGAGGAAGAAAGATTTGATTTTAATGTGAGGTGACTTGGCAGCGGCGTCATAACAGGTGTGGTATGAGAATCCAGGAGTGAAACAGTTAATTCATATTCTGTTCACAGAGATAGCTGTGAAAGAGCATATGCTGAATGTGCATTCCAGTTTCATTTTTTGGTTCTTATTTACAGTGACAAATAATATATTTCCCGTTAGATTTGAGTGCTTCATAAACCTGGAGCTGATGATGAATATGCAGTTTACACTCCAAAGGCACTGGAATCAGTGCAAGAAGGCAGAGCTTGGTGTGGTTCACAGCACACTGTGACCTCCACTGTGATTATTAATCAGTCAGGCTTTCAGGGGCACATCCACCATCCTAGATATTACACTAGCTTACTCCTCTTTCTTTTTCCCTGACAAATGTCATATCTGAACCTCTGGGAAACACACTGCAGATGTGTGACTTCTGTCAAAGGATGCTGAGTTCTGCTCTTCAGGTTTAAAAAGGTTTGGTACATTCCTCAGTGGGTTCTTAATTTGAGTCGTAGTGTTTTGTTACACACAGCCTGGTGTGGAAACTTCCCAGTGCTTAACAAGATCTCATCAATCTCCTGGAGAGCAACATTGGCAGTTCTGGGGGAAGTGGTCTGGTTACAAGTCTGGAAATCATGAGTGGAATTGCAGGGTGTGTGGGGGTTACCTTATCAGCGTGTGGTGTTCTGTTAGAAAGCAATTTGCTCAGAGGAGAGGAATCGCTTTGAAGGAATGGAAAGAGATTTGGGACTTCGAACAGGCTACTGGTTAATTCTGTATTGGAGCAGTCTGCCTTTCACAGAGTTGTGGTTGCCCAAGATAGCGTTGTACACAGAGCAAAAGAGATGCTCTTAAATTCCTTTGGGCTTTTTATGAACATAATAGGAGACACATGTGCAGCCATACTGAAGCAATAAAGTTTTTTCTGCTCGGAAAGGAACCCTAGTTCCAGGCATTACAAAACAGCAATAATTTTGTTCAAGTGATCAAATTTGCAGCTTTTCTAGTATAAGTGATTTGAAATAGTCATCATTGCCCTATTGACCTATCAGCAGAAACATGACCATCATGCAGAGCTGTTTCTTAGCCAGCTCCCTAGGGCTCTTCTACAGAGAATGAAAAGTGACGGAAGGTTTCATTATTATACCTCTTGCCACTCTCTGCACAACTGTAATCCTTAAGCACAAGAGCTTACATTCCTGAACTTGTCTTTTTGGTAGGTGAAGGGATATTTTGTCTTTGGTAGGAGGTTACTGAGAAATAAGTCATGTGTTACCTTGTGCTTAAACCACCATGGTGTCTTGCTGTCACAGTGAAAACATACAGAACAAGATGAGGGTAGCTGTGTGCAATTTCCCTTGGTGCAGTAAATCATATCTTTTCATTACTCAAAGATAGACAGGAGAGAGACTAGTGAATCCACCCTGCTCGAGTCCATGTTTCCAAACCACTCATGTCTTCCTAACAGGATTTCTCTGTAGGAGGGTTTGTACATGTGCTGGAGGTCTACTCAAATCTGTTATCACCTTACGACTTGTGGTCACAATCCAAAAAGGGTTGCAATCCCAAAAGCTAAAAACTCCGCTGCATGGTCAGAGAGAACCACATTGACCGTGACTGGCCCCAAACACACTAGTGGAACTGCTCTGTGCATTAAAACCTGCTGCATAGCTGCATGGATTCATCTTTCTTGCCAGCTTTGGAGTCTGCTGTGGTTATGAACACTGCTTGTGCCTTGAGAGAAATGTGATGAAAATGTGATGAGTGGAGGTATTGAATTCTCCTGGTACTGACCAGGGTGGAGGAACATTGGCAGACCAGGGAGGGAGGTTATACTGATGCTCTATATGATGTACCACATTTAAAGCTAAGCGGAATTTAACACTTTAGGGTTGTCAGCCAGACACTTATAAAAACTTCTTGAATTCTCCTTAAATTAAGATAAAAAATGTATTTTAAACAAGTCTTAAGATAGATACTTATTTTTTGTGTATTTTTGTTTTCAGGATGAATAAGAGATACTTGCAGAAAGCAACAAAAGGAAAACTGCTAATAATAATATTTGTTGTAACACTGTGGGGGAAATTAGCATCTGGGGCAAATCATCATAAAGGTAAGAAATTCTGTTCTATTCTATTATACTGTCATATCTGTGGCCTCTGTCAACAAATTCAGAAGTGTTCAGTCTATGCAACCTTTTTTCCTTACGTGTATTTGTGTCTCCTGGTATTGGTCCACTAACCAGTACCAAAGAAGAAGAGTTTTCAATGGATAGACTTTTATTAATTTCTTGAGAATTTAAGTATTTCAGTCCCATTTTCAGCATTCTCTGATTTTAGGTCATTTTGTAATGATAGCACAGTTGAAAAGATGGTTAAAAATGATATTAAAGTAAAAAAAATCAAATAATGAATACTGTTTGTCTCATAAAAATAGATATATCAGATAGCACATACGTGTGCTACGGATGAATTCCTGGAATAAACCTTAGAAAGAAACAATTTTTAGTAACATGTATGCTGCTGCTGTGTGCAGTTATCTGTCAAGGCTAACTTCATGGACAATATGTGCTGAATGTGATTATTTCATTACCAAAAAAAGACCGTTGCTTTGCAGTGTTTTCTGTCTTCTATGCTTCATTCCTAACACCAGACCAGGAACTTTAGTAGCTTGTGACAATGTGCGATTTGTTTCCTCTTGGTCATTCCAGCCCTTAAAATGTATACACACCAGCAGAAGCTGTGATGGTTTATTGAAGCTTGTAAAAAGGTCTCTTTTTTCTTTTTATGTGTTTCTGTAAACCCCTAATGCAAGGAACAAGCTCTCCGGATTCATGTACTAATATCTTCTTATTGGCTAATATAACTTGAAATGTGATCTGCAGTATAGGATGATTTTGAAGTCCACTTCTCATCTTCATATAGTGTCTGTTAGCTGTTTATCTGCTTATTCAGGATCAGAATAAACTCTAACAACTTGGTAAAGTAAGGATGGGACATGAACATTTCCAAGATCTAAGGAGTTAAATACTTGGGAAGGATTCCAATAGCACCAGTCAGTTCATCTCTCTACGTTCATGTACATTTTATAATGTTTCCTCTGATGACAGGATTTCATGAGCAGGTATTTTATATATCTAGCTGCTAGATATTGTTCTGCTGTGTGAAGATATCTTTCTTCAAAATACCTCACTGATTAAGGACTTCAGGATGCAGAGGCACTTTCTGCAAAGTCTTTTGCAAGTTGCAATCTGGCTGCAAACAAAGCAGATTCTGATGTGGTCCTGCAGGCCACCAAAGATGGGCATCGTGCCAGACAGGAACCATGCTGGCACCCTTTGCTCAGCCTTTGCTCCCCCTCAGAACCAGAATATGGATTTGTACTGTGGCTTGCCAGTTTAGTCATCTATTGGAAAAGAGCCAAGATATCCCAGCCTGGATTCAGAATTCTTTTGTCTTTGAGTATCTTTCTTTAAAAATCAAAAAGCCCATCTCCAGATCATTTTGATCCCATCCACAAAAGCTGGTCAAGCTGTGTTTGCCTCAATCCATTTCAAACTTTGCCAAAGTATGCTGGCTACTGTTTTTGAAAAAATGATGAGTAAAACCTGTCATCAAGTATTTCATGGAAACAGATTATAATTCTAAGGACTATTTGGGGAACTAGTGCTTCATAACTGGGAATCAAATGATCCCCCACCAATTTTAGTTTTCCAGATACAGTCATGCAAAGGAAACCCCAGCAGAGCTATGCCATTAATTATCTGGACAGTACGTGGTGTTTGAGCCCCAGCATTAAAGCAGAAATAACTTGAGAAATATTGAATTTGATGTTTTTAGATAAAAAAATTTGCATATAAGCCCCCTGCAAAATCAGGTTGTTGGCTGTAGGGACTTCTTTACATTCCTGCAAGTTAACAAAAAGCTTTGGTTCTTTTTCTTTAAGTTGTAACTTTTCACCCCTTTAGCAAAATATATGAAGTCTTGCAGGGAACAGTAATAAGAAACATGACCAGAGTGTTTAATTTAGAAAAGCAACTACTATACAAGTTCAGATTCTTTTGGAAAGAAAAAATATTCAGAAGTATTTTGGCTTATGGATTTAGTAGATCTGCAAATCAGCTGCACTCACTGTATATGGGGGAATTATTTTAAAAAGCACAAATCAGAGTTACGCAGCTCAGCTACCACTGATTTCCAAAGAAACTGGGAGTTTAACTTCCCATTGTCTCAAAGAAAATCTTCCCCCTACTGTAATAGCCGAAATGGAGGTAAAGTGCAGTCGAGGAAAACCTGACACTGTTCACCTTTACATGGAGTTTCCAAATACTGAGATATATGCGAGTTTCTTCAGTGATAATTATCCCTAGCATCATTAATCTTCATTTATAGAAGTCCTTACTAACATTGACACGACAAACCCTAATGACTTTGAAGGACCCCTTACAATTTCAAAGATCGATAATCTACATTTTAAAAAATCTTTACTTCCCTATTGACTTAGTCATATTATGCATCAGTTGCACCAACTCTTAAACTCATCTCTTTTTCTGAAGGCTATTGTAAAAGAAAAGAAAAAGCAAAAGCAAAAGCAAAAGCAGGAAAGATCATCAATGTGTGAAAAATTTTTTAATGAGCATTCTGTGCTCCAGACAGACTTCAGCAGGGATATAAGCAGCTGACTCTGACAAGCCATCTCCAGGCTTGTTTTGCTTATTTCAGGGATATAGCACAAATGAGAAATCCCAAGTCAGCAGCAAGAAAAAACAGAGGCTGAGTCAGGGCACGGGCAGCCAGGCTCTGAGGTCCAGTTCAAGCAACAACCAGGGTTACAAACTGGGATTTCAGATTACAGCTTTTCAGTGTCAGGTGCATGGGCGCCAAGTCCATCCTTCTTTCTCTTGAGAAGACTGGTTTGAAGACATGTCTGCTCCCTTTATCTTGGCTGTTTGTTAAAGTTTCATCAGTCTGAGCAGAAAGTCCACGAGCTAAAAGCGATAAGAACTCACTGTTTAAAACAAAACACAAAGCTCACTTATTTGCTGCACACAGGACTCTAAGTCCTCCTGTGTAGTTCCTGGGTGTGCACATACTTATATTCCATTTATATTGTCTTCTGGAAAGAAACAGGAACTCTGCTTTTTCATTTTACTGGGGACCCTGATACTATGGTGGTGTGTGCCTTACCTGAGCACATACACCTGTGAATCAGCCCACAGTACCAGATCTATTTGTGCTACAGTAGCTGTGTATGAGAAGACAAGTAAAGAGTGGCATATCAATCTCCAAAAGGATGTTGTCAAGGTTATCAGTCCAAAAGCTGATATACCTTGAGGGTGGCTGAAAGAAATCCATAAGGATATTTTATTATAAGATTGATCCTGATCCTCCTACTCATTGCTGGCCCTTGGAAAACAAATAAACCTGTGCAAACATATCATGTTCACTGACAGATATGGGAGGCAGGCAGGCAGGCGTCAGTTCAGCATCACTGCCTGTTTGCTATTTCTGTCATAGCGAACGTGAATTGATTTGGTGACCATTGTTTCACAGCCTGTGTTTAAGGTTTCAAGTGTTGGACTGGTCCTTTTGCGAAGTATACTGATAGCCCCTTACAAGCACTCCTTTGTAGACAAGAGGCTACCATGAGACACAGTTTCTACCTTAAAACTAAAAACTCTATCAAAATTTGTATTTCTTTGGGCTTTTTGTGATTGCTAAGTTTTTTTACATTGATAATGCAATAAGGTAATCTAAATAAATTAAGGGTGCTTTTGAATCTGAGCATAGTTTAATATTCCTCAAAATACAAAACAATAAACTTTATATTAAATTTTAAATCCCTCGACAAGATAAAAAGCTACTTAAAAATATGCCTGATCATGAATGCTTGCTTGCCAGAAGGAATTTGTTATGGAATCAGAAAACACTCCAGGTAGATAAATAAAGTAATTGAGTATTTTTGGACTTACTAGATGAAAAGCCATGATAATTTATTTTCATTTAAAAAATTTCACTCAGAAGCTGAACTTATTCATCTGATGCCTATCATATAGTTAAAACAAACTAAATTCTTTATCATTTGTGATGCAGAATTCCTGCTCCAACTTGTCTGGGAATTTGCACTAAATTAGAGGTCTGAGGGAGTCTTGCTATTCACAAGAAGAAAATGAATCTTGGTTTCTCCTTGCAAAGGAGAAAATGAAAATGAATTTTGGTTTCTCCTTGCTGTTTGTCCTGGTTTTAGCTGGGATAGAGTTAATTTTCTTCCTCGTAGCTGGTATAGTGCTGTGGTTTGAATTTAGTATGAGGATAATGTTGCCAGGACAGCCGAGCTAGACTGGCCACAGGGCTATTCCATACCATATGATGTCATGCTCAGTATATAAACTGGGGGAGCTGGCCAGGGGGCAGCGATTGCTGCTCGGGGACGGGCTGGGCATTGGTCAGCAGGTGGTGAGCAATTGCATTGTGCATCACTTGTTTTGTATACTCTTTTATCATTATTTTTTTTTTCTTCCTCTGCTGTTGTATTAAACTGTCTTTATCTCAGCCCACGGGTTTTACCTTTTTTTTTGCAGTTCTCTCCCCATCCCCCGGGGGCGGGAGGGAAGGTGAGCGAGCAGCTGTGTGGTGCTCAGTTGCTGACTGTGGCTAAACTACAACACTGTTCTGAAGCCCAGCTGAATGAAGGAGCCACTGAGCCACTGAGCTGCTAAAGCTGCTAGTTAGATCGCCCTTCCTGGTATGACTATGAGAAGCAAGAAACCCAGTAGTAGCAGTAGCATGCTTGCAATTTGACATGGATGGACTTTCATTAGTGGTCATCCTCTTCCTTGGTCACTGGGCTTCTTTTCTTTTGTTTTGTGAAAACAGTATAAATAAAATGTGTGGGACAGTCCTGGAAAGCCTAAGGAACTGACTGAAAATTTTAAGTCTTTGTGGAACTGAGTTAGAAATGTAGTTTAATTGTAATAATTGTCCCCAGCTATCCTATTTTCTTTAGATAACTCATCATTTCTGATTGCTTTGCAAGAGTTTTTAAGTCTTGTGTCTAGATTTGTCATGTTTTCTATTAGGAAAATGAACTAAAAGGTGTCAAGCCCTCAACAGG